CCCTCAGGAATTCTCCATTCCCCTTCCCAGCTCCCTCAGCCTCTCCTGGTGCTCCAACCCCTTCCCCACTTCCCTTGTCTGTGCTTCCTACAAAATCCCTGCTGTTCCTAAACCTGTTGGGCCGATTTCTGGTTTTATTTATGCTGTGTGAACAAAAAGGAGGAGCTGTATCCAAGCAGGACAAGATTCCTGACTGGAAACTGAAGTCATTCTCTTCCAGCTTCACTTCTGGCATGATCCCATTCCCTAAATCCTGCCTTTTGATGCCATCTCTGGGATATTCAATCAAGAAGCATCAAAAGATTTCAACTCACATCTCCACTTCATTTTTTACCACCTAACAGAAACCATTTAATGGAAACCAGAAACATTTTCCATCCATTTGCACAATTAGAGATCAGCCCTGAATAATAACGTTCAGGAGTCACATCCAGCCTGGATTTTATGGGAATAAATGACAAATCCATGCTACAATGAAGGGTCTCACCTCCAGAGCAGCCTCAGCTTTTGCCTTAATTGGCAAGGAAATTATTAATGACCTGAATCCACTTCATGTGCCCTGACAAAAACCACCACTCTCATTAATGTTAATTAGCACCATCGTTAGGGCCACGGCTGGAGCACCTATGGAAGAGCTGCTTGTTCCCCCTGCTCCTCAATTAACAAATCCAGATCTATTGAGATGCTCCTACAAAACTATGGAGCAAAGCCTGAGGAGCTTTTCCCCATTTTTCTTCTCCTGTCATTTTTTAAGGAGTGTTCAGTGCCAAGAACATTTAGCACTAACCTTTTCCAAGGTATTCCACATGAAATCAATGTTTGACTATTAAATAAATGGCAAACTTGGACTCTTTTTTTTTTTTTTTTTCCCCCATCTGGTCTGAACATTTATTTTATTTTTTTTCTTCACCTGAGGAAAAAAAATCTTTTGTTCTGCTGATATGGAATTTCTTAATGAAGCTCTGAGGGCACAAGAAGTTGATGCAGTTTTTAAGGCACTGGAGGGGCAGTGCAGAAATTGCTGAATGGCTGAAAATTTTTTCTTTTGTTCATTTTGCTCCAGGACTGGATCTGGGAATCAAAACTTTTCTCCTTCACTTACATTTTGCCTTTGAATCTCATCCCTTTGTGTAGAAGCAGCAACTTCTGTGCTGCAGGAAAATGCAAAAGCGGAGGTGGAAACAAAATCCACAAAGTGTGGGGTAAACCCAGAGAATCTGGAGCTCAGGTGGTGCAAAAGGAATTTTTGGAGATGAGAGGCACAGCTGGTGCTTTGTTCAGGAAGTTTTGTTTGAGTCCTGGAGTATCCCAAGGGTTTTGGCAGAGTCTTGGAATTCCCTTCCCAGTTTTGGGATAAAGAGGGAGATGTCGAGGGCTCCTTTTCTCTCCTGGAGGGTTTGGGGGTGATCGTGGAACCATCAAAGGATCAGGGACTGGTTTGGGTTGGTGGGACCTGAATCCCATCCCCCCCTGCCATGGCAGGGCCACCTCCCACTGTCCCAATGTCCAACCTGGCCTTGGGCACTGCCAGGGATCCAGGGGCAGCCACAGCAAATCTGGGAATTCCAGCCCAGCCAGGAATTCCCAATTCCCAATCCCCAGAGCAGCTCCCATCGTGCTGAGGTCACCTGGGAGAACCAGGATCCCACATCCCGGCCGTGCCAGCCCGGGAAGGAGCTGTGCTTTAGGGAATGGATTCTCCTGCAGGATCTGGTGATGGTGATGGATTTCCTGGGACACCAAATCTGTCTGCTCGAGGTGCTGAGAGCCAAGGAGCTTTCTGGGCACGGCATTCCCGTGATAACCTGCTTTTATAGGATTGTGTTTTGTACTGACACTTCTGGAATCCCGGAATCCCAGCATGGACAGGCTGGAAGGGACCCCAGAGGGTCACTGGTGTCACCTCCCTGCTCCAGCAGGGCCATCCCAGAGCTCAGGGCACAGGATTGTGTCCATTGGCTCTGGAATATCCCAGCGAGGAGACTCCAGCCCCTCTCTGGGCTCTGCTCAGGGCAGGAGTTCTGCTCCTGTGCCAGGGAATTCCTGGGATCAGCCCCTGCCTGAGCACAGGGACAGCCAGGGACAGCCAGGGACAGCCAGGGACAGACAGACAGACAGGGACAGACAGGGACAGACAGCCAGGGACACCCAGGGACAGCCAGGGACAGCCAGGGCCCCTCTCAGCCGGGGCTCCTCTCCAGGCTGAGCAGCCCCAGCTCCCTCAGCCTTTCCTGGAGATGCTCCAGCCCTTCCTCATCCTCACATCCCTCCTGTGGCCCCGATCCTGTCCCTGCTGATCCCAGAGCACTCCAGATGTGCCCAGGGCTGAGCAGAGGAGCAGGATCCCCCCCGAGCTCCTCCCTGATCCTCCCTGGACCCTTTTGGCCTCGTGTTTTTCTTTGGAAAGGCAGGAGGAGAACCAGGAATATATTTGGAAATCACTCCGAGTGGATCCTGTGGTTTGAAGTGAATTTCCCAAGCTCATTTCTGAGCCTGCAGCATCTCCTGAGTGTTGCAGCACTAAGCTCCAGGTCCCTCTCTCCTCACTGATTAACAGGGAAGCTCCAGTGGCTTGAGTGGATTTAGAGCTCCCCAAAAGCCCAAACCTGCAAACATTTATCCACCTTCTCCGTTTAACAGGGAGGAGCAATCCCCTGGCACCCAGGGTTGGAGTTTCTCCTTCCTACCAGTGAATATAAATCCAAGCTGGCACTGAGTGCAGGCTGCTGCCTTCTCCCTGGAGAAGGGAGATTTCCTGCTTCCCTCAGATAAATCAATGGACTTTGCAGGAAGAGTAAACTCAGCAGGAATTGTTCTTGCAGTGAAATTCAGCTTTTGCATGTTTTACTCCACGGGGCCTCGTTGTGCTCTGAGAGAACTGAACCTCCCAGCTGGGTTTTGTTTTGGTTCTTAAATTCCAGGAGGAATTTCTCATCCCATCATCACCCAGCAGGGCAGATCTCTGGGATCACTGGGCTCTCACAATTCCATGCAGGAGAGGATCCCAGGAATCTTCTTTGGGGGTCTTGGCAATTTTTCTTCTTTAGACCTTTTACCAGTTCCTTCAAACACACCCCAGAAATCTCAGTGAAAATCCAGGAGGTGTGTCCAGGATCCCTCTCCTTCCCGTATGGATTCAGATATTCCTGCCAGGAATTTGTTATGATAATCTGGTGATGGGGACTCAATTCCCTTCCTGATACCCCTCCATGTGCTGCAATGTCCTGATTTTTAGAGATTTCCTTCATGTCTAGCCCAAAAAGCTCCTTTCCCTGATTTTATCCAGTTCTTCCTTTTCCATCCCTATTGAAATGAAGGAACATTTAGGAGATGCCATGTGAAGATAATGTTCACAATTTAAAAAGTTACTGTCTCTCATCCCTAAACCACATTAATCCATTTCCCACTTCTTTTCCCCCCATATTTCATTTTTTATGGATGTGCTGCCTGTTCTTCCCAGCTTTTTAGATATGCAAAAAGAGACAACACCTCTAAAACCCACTGTATAAATCTGAGTATGTGAGGGAGAACTCTATAAAAAGATTGAAATATAATTTCGACCTCACCAGCACAAATTGATGGCCCTGGTTTTTTGTAGTTGTTGGTTGGTTTTTTGGGGTTTTTGGGGGGTTTTTGGGGTTTTTTTTTTTTGGTTTTGTTTGTTTCTTTGTTTGTTGGGTTTTTTTTTTTGGTTGAGCTCGCTACTAAAAAAAAAAAAAACCTGTGGCTAACTGGCAAGGAATTGGAAAAATAAGGATTGGGATGGAAAATTTGGCTGCTGAATTCCTCTTGTTTGTTCTGGCAGGAGAGTTCCACTGTGGCTTTGAGGATGGGAACATTTGCCTTTTCACTCAAGACGACACAGACAATTTTGACTGGACAAAGCAAAGCACTGCCACGAGGGACACGAAATACACGCCCAACACGGGGCCCAACGCCGACCGCAGCGGCTCCAAGGAGGGTGAGACCCAGCACGGAGGGGTTTGGGGTCAGGGAACTGCCCAGGACAGCCAGATCAGCCTTTTCCTGCTCATGGAATCCCGGATTGATTGGGACAGGAAAGGATTTGAGTTCATCCCATCCCAGCCCTGCCATGGCAGGGACACCTCCCACTGTCCCCAATGTCCAACCCATCCTTGGGCACTGCCAGGGATCCAGGGGCAGCCACAGCAAATCTGGGAATTCCAGCCCAGACAGGAAATTCCCAATTCCCAACATCCCACCCAAATCTCCCCTTTTCCATCTAAAAGCCATTCCCTGTGTCCTGTCCCTCCATCCCTTGTCCCCAG